TCTGGATCTAATTCTTAGTGTTTCTTCGCTTAACACCTCATCCTGTTTTAAACTATGCACTATCCTTTTCTTCCGACCACTGCCTGCCTAATTTCATATTCTCGAGTTCCATTGCCAAACAACAAGGATGACACTTCTCTAAAAACATACGGTGAGTTTCAGCCATAAGTTTCCTGCAATCATAAGGTCATTTTAGATGGCTCGTTCAATGGCTGACACAATTATCTGGATTCATTCGATTGTTTTGATCTGAGCGAGTGGCAACAGCATCAAGCACCCTGGAATTAATTGCCATACTGCATGTTTTATTGTGGATACTTTTGGATCACTACTCCTCACGAATGGCGTTATATATGTCGTCCACTGAATAATCTAATTTTCAAAAATAACCCAGGCGAGTTCAACTATTTTACTTAATGATTTTTTCTACTTAACATGTATATGTTTTCCATTTGCTTTTGCCATATATTTGTAAGTGTCCCTAGGCTAAATGCAGTAACTTCTTATGGAATGTTTATAACGCGTCATATTCCTGCCTGAAGTTTCACAAGCAGTCTAAACTTTAAAATTACTTGTCTGGTCATGTTCATTATTTTTAAATCGTCATATACGTCAACAACCTGCATGTTAACCTGGTTCATACATACGTTACACTATATCTCCATGTCTTCTAAATTTAGAAATCATCTGGATCGCCTCTAACATTTATTAATAAACCCATCATAGTCGTTGTTGCTAATCGTATTTGGATTTATGGATTGGTTTATCATATTAGCAGTCTAAAATGCAAACATAATTTAGATAATAAGATTAAAAATTTAGGTACTATCAACTGCACTAGTAAAATTACTAAATCCTCAGGTAGTTGTTGGTTGAACAAACTTTTAAAATCAAAACTCCGTAGCCTAGTAGAATTAACATTAAACAAATATTTCTGAATTGAAATTTATAATTAAATTAGGCGTCTCGGATTCTTTAACGTTATAAATTTCTGATAATTTTGAATCACCTAAAACAACAATGCCTATTTTTCCACTGGCCAATCTTCAATCAACACTATAACTAGTTAAACATAATAGTTTCAGGATATCTTCATAAAGCATTGTCATGACTTGACAATCACGTAATATGATTGATAAAAATTAATGAAACTATTAACAAAATAGGTCAGCAAATTGACTTATAATTATCACTAGTGTTGTTTTTCTTCATTCACTACAGATGATTACAGTATGTTTCTCTATCAGTTGCTCATTCAGTAAATATCTCAAAACTTTGTCAGTCTAATTGGAGGTTTAGCGACACAATCATGCATGCAAATAATCAGTATAAGCAGTCGAGCAAATATCCTGCAAACTGAAAACATCAATGTCGAATTTACCCCAACACTGACTAAGGTTCAAGCTATTATCATAGGCATGAGTTGGGAGTGCACTCCCCTTGGTTACAACTTATGTTCTCCCTGATAATCACATGAGCATCACTCACTATTAATCATCTTGTAAAAAAATTATTTAGCTAAATACATCTTGCAGCACATCACTTAGTAATATGACACATGGGCTTAGCTAATTTTAATAACTTATAACCACTATATCTCAATTAAGTCGTATTCTGCCTTCATACGTGCAACTAACTTGTATGTCCAATCAGCCGGCAAGTATAAATATAAATAAATAGTCTGCCACAGATCAGAACATTGAGTCTAGAGCATGTCTCTTACGAATACACTCATGTTTAACGATTTGTTCTTAGCTATCTGTCCAAAACTCATATAATTTTCACTCATGTATTTAAATTTTGTTTTGATAACCATTCATGTGTATTAGTAGTATTACTAAATTCTATCACGGTCAGGTAAACATGGGGTTGAAAAAATCTCCCCGTAACTAAATAAACCGTATCAAACTAACTGGAACACTAGTTGGAATTCTTCTCCACGATAATGCTTTTGTTCCTTCAGTTAGCCTACTAATACAGATGCAATTGGAAATCGACTCATATGGACAACTTACCGGCATAATCGTTATTTGATTTCATAAGTTAGACTAAAAGTAGTACTAATATTAACATTTCTACAATATTCATAACTTTAATATTTCTAAACACAAAATACTTACTACCTATACGTTAAGTTATTAACCAACGACTATTAACACGCATCGTTTTATTATTATTATTATTATTATAATCCCATTTTTTTATAGCTCAAATAATCACTCAAATTTTTATTGTAAGCATGAAGGCAAATATTTTAAAATTATTACATGTATTTCCCGACCAGATGCTGCCGTCTTCTTTTTGATTTATCTTTCAGCTTGTCATCACCCGGAGGATTATTACTAGTCTTGGTAACCTTCGGGACACTACAGTCCCATCCAATTTGGTATCGAACCAACACCACGTTGATTCTGGTGGGAGAGTAGTGTAGTGGCATTGGACCATAACCACACAATCCTCAAAGCTGAATACGAGATTACTCAGAAAATAGATATTCAATATTTAACGCGAAGAAATACCTAACGATGGAGAAGGCGCGACTAATTAATTGAATGGACTAGAGTTGATCGAACGGCATGGTTCGGCCATGCAGGCGTGGTCTCTGCTGAATGTTACCTTATATCTTCTATTCATATTAAATATATTGTTCTTTCTCTAGCCTAACCTTGTTCTACATCACGTATTGGTAATTGATACGATACAGTGAGTTGGTGCAGTCGATGGTGTGACTTCCACGTAAGATCTTATAGATTAGACAGTCATATCATGATAAATCTACAGATTTAAGATTAGGTCTATTATTAGAGCAGTACTAATATCATAGTAGACCATAAGTTATACACTTACATTTCATTTTTTGTTTTCCAGGACGACTGGAAAAGAACGATGCAGTTTACGAGGAGCCGAAATTTTCATTGTACTTTTTTTACTATGTTGTACTTCGGTCCCAAATAGTAAGGAAAGACGACCAGACGCCGCTGAACTTAGTAAGCTATCAGAAGAGTGTTTACGAACGACAAACTCGTTGGGTTTAAACTTCTGTTTGGCCACGTCATAGGGTCATCACTGCCCCACTAGGGAGGGAGTGATCTGTAGCGGTAAATAAATGCCCAAAATAAATATCTCTGTAAGTTTTCGACATTGGATGCTGACCATATGTTTTAGTGGACTCATCTAGCTGAAGGCTCTCGGTCATGCATCCGCACCAAATCACGTGTGGTAACGCTGTGCTCAACATTTATCGCAATCGCTAGCCAGATTAGATCAGAAAATTCCGATATATTGGTTATCGCCAAATACACTCTTTCGATCTCCTCGACTCTGTCTTTTGATTTCTCTCGGTGGGAACAAATTATATTAGGTGTTACTGGTAGAAGCGTTGTCAAACACTGAATACCTATATCATAATCAGGATCATATGTTGTGAGGAAATCAGTTTGAGTGATCATATTGAGAAACGATCAGCAGAGGAGGAAATAAATGAGCGCAGTAGCTCAATAATCCGAAAACCACACTTGTCGGTACGGAACGAGTTTTCACAGAATCAAAGGTATACTACACAAATGCATGCAACCTGCTAGCTAAAGTGCTGGAGCCCCAAAACTTGGTGGATTCGGAAAACCCTCGCGTCATTGCCACCTCAGAATCTTCGGAAGTGCATGCTTGACTTCTTACTTTGTAGGGCTGACAGACTAAACCACGGGAATGACGAGGTTATCTTGTACGTGGAAGAGCCTGACTACACGAGCTTTCGATACATTGTCACACGACTTATCGACATATAAACTGAAACGCTGACGGCTAAAATATGAGGGTCAAGAAATCGAACATGTTGTAGTATGACGCAATCCAGAATACGCAGTGGAAGGCCTCATTCTAATTAAACTTCAATCCCGGTCAAATAGGTGTAAAAGCCTTATAGTAAGTGTCTTTAACCGAGATACAAAAGTAAGTAAGTACAACATAGGGGGTGAGTCAGCCTGTAGACAGGTATAGCTAGGATCTTGGAGTGACATTGATTTATAATCCTGAAAATACGGCTGATCGCCGCGAAGTGTCAACTAAGGAGTACGGAACTTTGTTTAAAAGGTGATTCGGATTTCATGGAATGAGTACAGGGGGCAGCTACGCGTGTGACTTCAGAACTCCCGAACTTGCCACATAAATCGCGGTTTGATAAGCCAGACCTCACTACTCTGTCCTACGAAGATTAAGAAGTGATTTAACCTTAATATATAGGATACAAAGAAAAGGTTTTTGACCTGACATATTTGCTCCTTTTCTTCCTACTTGACTACAACAGCTCAGAAGACATAACAGGCGAGTAAAAAAGCCAAGAATGAACATAATAATCATAATGGTTCTCACAATGGTTCATCAATTCTTGGAACCTGTTATCCAAAGAAGTGGTGTTTTCTCTTCAGTTAATTCGTTCATGGGAAGAGTAGATACTCTCAGAAGCTTACTAGAAAAGCATTAAGACAGACCGCAGACCTTCTATCCCAAGTACACAAATCTGAATCTGAATGTGGATTCATGGTAATCACTATGTTGAATGAACATAATCTTATATTCATTTTGAAACACGGTTTAACTGAGCATATGACTGTCTAGTTCCATTGATTACCTTTTGCTCAGTTATGTGACCAATTCAAACGTCTTACAAGTGAATGCATCCAATATTCCTTTGTTTAGTTGTCTGTTTATCTACCTCTCTGCCGATCATATTTAATTATTATATTGGCCTTTAGATACTTCGGACACGCTGACTATCTTGAGCTAAAAGGAATCCTTTGTGATTCATTACTATCACACACGGTAGCTCGTTAAGAAGAAGCTTTCTTTACCCCATTTGAACACTTATAAAGGAGAACCTGAATCTTCATAGAAATACCTAATCCAAGGATCGAAACGGATCATACAACCTATCTTGTTTATTACTGAAGCATGAATATAGCTGTTATCGGTTTCATCAATCCCGTTGCTTTTAGTTCTTACGACGTAATTGGCGCAACCTATAAATATTTTGACTTTCTGAGCGCCTCCCCGTTGTTTGTTGCGTTATCGCGCAGTTTCCATTTGATAATTCTAAGTAAGTGATCAATGTGTTATCGTATCACTTCCCACTTTCAAAGTCAAGAAAAAAAATATTAAGCTCCTAATATTACAGCTAATCGATAGTCTATCTCCTATATGGAGTACGGTCTCATCCAATTTGACTACTACCTATTCAGTGGAAGGCTTTAATAAATAGCTATGTACTCACGTATTTGAGCGTTAACTATCCTTGCCCGAAATATATGTTGAATACATACTCAAAGTGAGACGTTCCCATACTAGTTAGTTTTACCTTCACCAACCAACAAGGTAGCTTGACACCTGCAGGTTTTAGGAACTCTACAGCTCTGATGTAGATGCACTTATTCCTACTAAGACTATACCAATCTCCGAATAACTATTGAATAAATTTAATCTAGTACAGCAGAGTGGTTAGGCTACTGTCACTAGACTCCTAATGACCTAAAATTGTCTTTTGGGATAAACAAACGAACTCAAAAATACCGATTCGTTTGTACTACCTTGTTAGAACGGACTTTAATGATTCAGATATCGGGGTTTTGATTTGATCGTTTAAGATCTCTTGTGAATAGGATCTGATTGCTGATTTCTTTTGTGCTCATCTTTTGTTACTAAATGGCGACTTCATAATTTGTGTCGCTACGCTGAGGGTAGTTCATTGTGTTAGTGAATGAACTCACTGGTTGTCTTGTCCGTTTAGTCTGTTATCCATTAAAATAGTTCGTGATTAGGTGGATGATTGTTCGGCTTCTCATTGAAAATGGTTGTTAATATAACTGTGAATATCACCAGCCAAAGTATCCCTTTGTGTAATAATAAAGACATTTTTAGCTAATTTGCTGCTCCTTTATCAGGAGTTTTGTTTGCTGTTAGAGTTCTGTCCTCTTCCCCACTTTCTTTATAATAAGTGATGTAAAAGTTTGTCTTGATAAAGAAATACTTGGTGGTATACACTACAGTAGTTGTGAATAAATATCAAATTTGTATCATTATAAACATTCTAGCCTTTAAGCAAATGAATATTATGGATCACCAAAAACGTTTAAAAGTTTTCAGTGACCACTGTGTAAGCAGGTAGATCTTAGGTCATCAATAACACTAGTCCTCACATCATTGTGAGCTTTCATGGTAACTCAGCAATATTGATAGCATGACTGTTCCGAGTCAAATAATTCAAAATAATCACTAGACTCATTGTCACACCTTTGGGCACGGGATAGACTGAACTACCCGCTTATTTCACTTGCTCTGTTTCGAAGCTCATGAGCTTCCTCGCTTTTGTATAACCTTTCGTATCTCAAAGTTTCTATTTATATCGAAATTTGTGACGTCCTGAGGGTGGATAATTCACTAATGTATAACTGACAAAGTTCTTATTGGGAATTTTTTCCGAAAAACGGCTTAACTGTTGTTTATAAATGCAGAGTTGTTGGTACACAATATTGGTACTAGTATAAATATATAACTGCGGTTAAGAAAAGTAAAACTCAACTGAAACTCAACAGCATTAATCAAAGTTACTGATTATTGATGTGAAACATTTCAAAGATTGTATGCTTTGTGACTGGAGTCCTTTAGGTGTTAAAAACTAATGATTAGTAGATCCAGGTAACATATCTCTGTGTCTATTGCTGAAATGTGACTTTTTCGTTCTTTTGTCTACTATGACCTTTCGACATGTTACCCTATTTATCCGATTGTTGTTCATAATACTTAGGTTGTTTTCCTCTTGACTAGTGAGTTGCATGTCATTGTTTAGTATATGACACATCAAAGATATAATGCAAACGAATCTCTATTACCAAGATCAACTTTTGGTAATTACATCTTGACAAAAAGTCATAATTATTTGAGTTTTGAATGCATCGTACAATATTTTCTTTTATCTTTACCTATTTCTATGTATCTAGTGGGTCAGTGATAATTTGTTTAGTTTACTATGTTTTTCGTAGATGTTGCTAAAAATTTAATATCATGCCGATAATGATGAATTTGAATGCTAAACTTATTAACTAAAACTAATTAATTTCATCCTAATTCTATGATATTCGTTGAATTTATAAATTTATATTAGTAAATATTTCGTATATTTTTTATTTTAATGAATTATGTACGTCCTTGTACATATGTGTACACACGTCTATTTAACATTCTTGTTTTACTTTTACATTTAAGTTTCATATTCTAACTAATATGTTATTTTATGCTTACCTGGTTTGTGCGCTTCATATAGAATAACCTTTCGTTGGAATTAAAGGAATACTTATTCTTAATAATTCTCACAAGAAATGGGATCTCACTTTGGTGTAGTACAACCAATTTTCACGGGTAAGATGCTCTGTTATCAGTCTAATTATATAAATATCAACCTTTAGTTTGCTCTCAATTAGTGATTAATTTCAATGTTTTTTTATTTTGACAGTATAAGTTAATGTGGAAAAAAATACACAAAAACATCAAATTGCTGTCACTAACAAATTGTTTGTATCTTCACTCAACTCTTAATAGATTCTAACACAGAAGTAGGGATTATTTAAGTATTTTGTCATATCCTATGTTTATAGAGGATCAATACGTTCAAATTTGTTTTTACTGACAAATACAACAGTTTTGATTAGTGCAAAAAGTGACCAGTTAACTTTTCGTCAGTACTAATGACTAATAATTAGTTTGACTTTAGAACGTTCGCCAACTAAACTAGGTCAGAGAATAAATTAGTTTCAGGGTTTTCACTTTAGTTTAAAAGAACGTGTGACCATTTTATTATTACATATTTAAAAGTTCCTCAGTTTTGATAATCTTAAATGTTCTTAATATTAAAACGTAGCACTAGTTCATGAATTCATTAACTGTTGGTCCAAACTATTTTGATAGATCCAGACTACCTTGTTGAGGTCCGCAACTAGTGGTTGAAGATTTGGGGTGAGGGTTCAAAATCGTTCGCAATGAAGCCCTGGTACGGTAGAGTGTGGGGAGAGTCAGATCCCTCCCTTCGAAATTCACATGAACACTCGTATACAACCACTGCCAAGGAAGTCCTTCTCACGGCGAGGATATTGTTTACGAAATTGAGAGGGACGAAAAGCGAATGTCCGGTGCTCTAACCGGGTTGCTGGATACGGAGATTCCACCTAGGGGAGTCGGAAAACCCTGATTCCAAACCAATGGTGCACATAGACCCCAGGATCCTGAGGAAACAAATGGTGTATGAACCTATTGTTGGTCACCAGCCACCATGGGACTGCATCGTCTAGAGTTGTTCCACTACCTTGTGGATTAGACCTCTAGGTCAAAGGCTCGGGGATTGGCTCTCTAAGAAAACCACTTGCCTCGATTTGGGCACCTTGACAGTATTCTATCTCCCACACAAATTGAATGATTTGTGTGCCTTGTACAAATGTTTGTGTTTAAATAAATGAGTGAATTCACTTATCACTCTTTCTTGCAGTATTCCTTCATTCATACCCTTCCATTTTACCTTTTACACCATATTCCCAAGACTTAGTTTGTTTTCTGTTCTAAATTGTGTATTTTCTCCTTTCAGATTTCTATGAATTGACAATGTCGTATGCCTATTGGAAAGCTGGAAAAGCCAATGATACTGCAACTTTTGAAATGTTTTTTCGTAAAAATCCTTTCAATGGAGAGTTCACTATATTTGCTGGTCTTCAAGATTGTATTGAGTATTTAAGTTCGTTTAAATTCACTCAGGATGGTGAGTGAAACAGATGTGTCGATTAAAATTCTACATTTTATGTTATGTTATCTGTTGGAATAAACGTGATTTGTGGGTTATTACATCTGTGCTTTTCTATGTGTTACATGTTCGGTATTAATACATAATTGACAAGAGTACTGTAATAGCTCAAAAATATACTAAAAATAATACATCAACCCCAAGTAAATTCAATAAACGAATATATATAAGCGTAGCTGAAATGTTCCATACTAGAACGAAACAGTTGTCCATTGCCTCACGGTTCTCATCGATTGTCTATCTTAGGTCAGTTCGATCAGTAAACTTTGAAATCCAACAATCTCCAAAGTTCCTTTATATTAACTACAGTAATATGTTGCATGTTGATTCATCATTTTTTTCCTGAAATATAGTACCAGTATTTTACAATAAACTCTAAATTCTATCAATTTTTCTTTTATATTTCTAAATAACATTATTAGATATTGAATATTTGCAAAAAATTATGCCATCAACTGTTGATCCCGATTTCTTTGATTATTTGCTTAGTATCGATACAAAGGGATTATTGTTATGGTCTGTTAAAGAATGTTCAGTTGTTTTTCCAAAAGTTCCTATTATGCGAGTTGAAGGACCAGTAGTACTCTGTCAACTGGTGGAATCTACATTATTGAATTTGGTTAATTATGCGAGGTAATTAATATATGCGTATCTCTTTTTCACTATCATTTCATTGGAATGATTAATTTATATATCATATTTCAATTGTACATTCATGTACTCCACTTGAATATATATACCTTGGTACTACCATGGTGCATAAACTAGTCAGACAGTCATAATGACTGTAGAGCCTGGTATATATCTAGGTTTCCCAAAGTTTCCGTACCACAGTAGCCCGGCAAGATGAACGGTATGAATGAAATCAAAGTGATGTAGTAGTAGTAATAATTATAAAGATGGGACATTGAAAACATAGTTTTAAACGACAAAATGAAAGGATAATACTGGAACTGGAAATGTAAAGGAAAGTAAGCGATAAGTGTTTTTGCGCTAATATGACCGATTCTGAGCTGTGTCAGTCAATGTGTGCAACCGTTGGTTACGATAGTTACACGAACCTCAAGCAGGTAGTTTGTATCTACCAACTTAGGCCTGTTCATTAATCAATGGCTCCATGAACTGATTCTACGTTCTGATTTAGCTTCTAATTTTCTTACAACTTACTCATATACCAAAGCGAGGCAGAATTGTTTCATCCTACATATCAGCTATTGAATACTGAATACCCTGACCAATAAGCCACTGCTCTGTTTAATATACACGAGCATTTAGTGTCTTGTCGATTTTAAGGAATATTTACGACTGGTTTGTAGTATGTGATATATTTTAGAAGATATTCAGAGGACTCTACAACTCGTCACAGGTTTTTTATTGAGATTATAAACAGCGGTTGTTTAGTTGGGTTTATGTGTATGTGGATATTAGTTTGATTCGATAACTACTTTTTTCAGTATGGGGTTGTGGAGATTGTTTAGCTTTTGATTGAGATCATGAATCGATGAATGTTAGACCACCATCGAAAACCTGGAAGTACCGGACGGCCGTTGCGGCCATCTTTCATTGTCTGAGGTAGATACCTGACACGGATTAATGCGCGAAACGGAAGGTACTGAACTCAAATCTAGCGTGCGGGATCGTGGATACACACTGATGAAGAGCACTATACTAGGACGAAATGGCCGTCCAACGCTTTCAGGTTTTCAATGGTGGTCTAACATTAATCGATTCATGATCTGAACCAAAAACGTTCTTTTTTTAATTAGAACTAATATCAACTGAAGAACCATTGGAATTCATGTAGGACTGAGAACTTCGGTAATACTTATCCGTAACTATACACATAGCGTCTTTAAACTAATCACAGAAGCCAAGTTCGAATATTTGGCGCAACATAATTGTCGTGGACATAAATAGGTTTCATAGTTTGCATCAAGAACTGACCCTAGTCAAACAACAGTTCAAAACCAGGAGACTTTGGACAGCTGTTTCGTTCAGAGACCAGAGTACCCATCAGTGAGCGATGGAGTTGAACCGTGTCGTATGTGATGTAATTACCTACGGGCGTATTGGAGGATGATTGCTCAATATGGCTAATTGGTGAAAGCTAGAGACGTTAACCATTGGAAACCGACTCAGGGGTCCGAATGTCAAACACTCGCCGCGGGATCTGAAGGTCCTGGGTTGAGTCCCCAGTGGTGGGGTCGTGGGTACGTAGTATTGAGGAGTACCGTCTCAGGACGAGACACGTTCAGTGCTTCTTGGTCTTATTAGTTGTCTTCCTATGGTCAGTCAGTGCTATAAACCATATAGCTCAACAATTTTTAGAAACCCTTTTAATTAATTAAAATGTATTTCTTGACTATTTAATTTTAAAGGTGCTGAAAATTAGGGTTTTTATTTTACATAAATGACTCTAGACGGGATTAATCGACGTAAAAAGATTTCAAAAAGTCTTTTTTCTGTTGTCGATATTTGGATACCTCATATTTTGGTTAATTACGTCATTCATCAACGAAAATGAAATATGTTGGAGGCAAGCTTTTATCCATACTTCAGTAAGCTGCAATTTTTCGGCTTTTAAGTTCCAAGCTCCGATTTCAATACTATTTTGATTGCTAGTAGTAGTTTTTAAGTGTTTTATCGATGTACACGCATATATTTTTATCCGTAGCCTAGTGACTACGAATGCTACACGTTACCGTCTGGCTTGTGGTCCAAGTAAAAAATTATATGAATTTGGTTTACGTCGTGCTCAAGGACCAGATGGTGCACTCTCAGCTTCAAAGTATGCATATTTAGGAGGTATGATTATTTATTATTATTGTTAATACGTCATTGATATTATTATTATTATTATTATTATTATTATTATTATTATTATTATTATTATTATTATTATTATTATTATATTCGTCCTACATATTCGAATTTTGAAGAGGGGTTCGATGTTATTAGTATTCATAGCGTTTCTATAGAATGATTACTCATTGACCCGTAAATTATTTAGGAGAATATTTAAGTAATAAAATATTACTCAACTCAGTATCTAAGTACACAGATTCATTTGCCAGGATTTAAGTCATATTTGTTGTGTGAGGACAGGTTGCCCGAACGGAAGTAAGTTTTCGAAGTGTAACAGTGCTCACTTTATTGCAGTGGTTAGGTCATTCTGACATGTTAACAACAGAATTTCAGTCACATCGAGGGATAAACAAGATGACATTGGTTACCATAAATTGATCACTTATTTAAGACACATATGTGTTGATAATATGAATATTAGGCTATTCACGTGCATCTGTTATATCTTTAAGTTTCGCTAACCTCAAGTAGTGGTTGTAATGAATAAATTGGAACGCAAATAATAGATTAAGAACGATTTTGTTATTTATGAACAGTTTTGATATTTTTGTTCAAGGGGTGGAATCTTTTTAGTCAAAGGCACTTTATATGTATGCAAAAAAACTAGCGATCTTTTTCTGATGGTTACAAAAAATATTTTCATTTTGTAATCCAAGTTATATTTTATCAAGCAAATCGTTTCACCTTATATCTACATATTTTTTACTACAGGTTATGATGGAACTAGTAATGTTTTAGCTGGGAAAATATATGGAATTCCAGTTGTTGGGACACATGCACATTCATTTGTGTCAGCTTTTCAATCTTCTTATGTAAGTGGAAAGTCTATGTCAAAACGGTTATATGTGACAATAAGTTTTATTTAATCAAACATTGTAGATTATTTTTACCGTATAAATTGTCATACTAATCAGGAGAAAAATAGGATAAGACAGTTGTCTTAATCCTTTTCGACTGCTCATTTCCGATATTTGATCTATAAGATAAGAGAGTTAATTTATGATGTTTTTTCTTTCTAATAGTGACCAGTGCTTGTAGCACATTCATACATCATTTATTCCTTTTCGAGCTAGGAGCATATATACGCTACTGATATCAAATCTAATCTCTCTCATTAATCTCTGTAATGCAATCATATTAACTTACTCAATGTAGGCTTCTGCCTTACTTTTATCTCTTTTTAATTTTACTAGAGAAACTGCTGTTACTTGAAGGCAGTAAGTAAGACTATTGTGGTAACAGTTAGAGCATTTCAAGAGAAAATGTACATCACAATTTCTTTCATCTAACAAAGCACTTTGAATGTAAACTTCGGTTACCGATGACGAGCTCATTGATATTATCATCTTTCTGATGGAGTCTTGTTCTATGAGCTAGATCGTTTGATTGTAGAGCTTCCATCTTTCTTCTGAACGACATTATCATATTATCATCAATAACTTTATAGTTGAATTTCAACGATTAAATATCGAATACACGATTTTATTTCTGCCACAACAAATGGTTAGTATCAGCTAGAATAAAGTCAATGCTAATCCCTTTACCGCAACTCTAATAATTTTTGTCGTTTCAAACAATTAGTGGTTAATACATTAGTCTTGCATTTTGAGTTCAGTCAGTCAGTCAGCTACAACGTCGGACCAGGCACATATGTGCATCGGTCCAGGTTGCCATACCGCATCAGCACAACAAGATGAACACCAGATTCATAACAGTGGTTAGGTAAAAGGTGGTAATATATAAGAGAAAGATTGCATATAGAGATATAGTACAAAAAGAAAGAATTGGTTCGTAGAAAGAAAGATATGAAGCGATTTTAATCTCATAGTTTAAGTGAAGACAGGGAGTGTATACACCGACGCCATTGTGATCGATTCCGAGCCATGTCACCAAGAGTCTCCAACCATTGGTTACGATAGTCACGCGGACCCCAACCAAGTAGTCTGCATCTACCAACATGGCTCAGACTAGAAGTTAGTGACTTCAAGCACTGATGCCACGTTTTGGTTCGGCCGCCCCTAACTTTCTTCCAACCATTTCCAATACCGGATAGCATTGCACGTCGTGGTAATCGGTGTTCAGGCATACGTAACACGTGGCCCAACCATCTCAGTCGATGAAGATTCACAACCTCATCAACTGATTTACCATCCTTTCCTAATACCCTGCGTCTAACCTCACTATTACTTACCCGGTTATCCCAGCAGACGCCAGCAATATTTCTAAGGCATCTGTGGTCAAATACTAATAGCTTACGAGTGTCTTCTAATCTTAATGGCCATGTTTCGCTGCCGTAAATTAAAACAGAACGGACTGCCGCTCAGTATACTCGTCCTTTTATTGATAGACGGATATCTCGCCTTCGCCACAGGTGACGTAACTTGGCAAAAGCCAAACGAGCTTTTCGAATCCGTGCTGAGATTTCGTCTGATACCAACCCATTAGGGCTGATCAGGCTTCCAAGATAAGTGAAGTTGTCAACGCGTTCGACTACTTCACTCCCTATCCTTAGTTCAGGTGTTAACGCAGACCAGTCCTGAAGCAACAACTTGCATTTAGAGAGAGAAGCGCATTCCAAACATCCTGGCATTGTTGCTCAGTGCTACCAAAAGACTTTGCATTCTATCAGCATCTTCACCGAACACGACTATGTCATCCGCGTATTCTAAGTCGATAAGTGGACCTCCTGGATGGAGATCAATACCCGAGAACTCTGTCGACGAGAAAGTTATTTCCATCAGTAGATCTATGATGAAGTTAAACAAAGATGGGGAAAGTGGACATCCTTGACGGACACCACTTGAGGTTGCGAAAGTAGATGACAGTTCGCCATAAGCTCTCACTCGACTAATAGTGTTCGAGTAAAGAGCCTTCACAAGGTTTATGTACTTCTGAGGTATGCCTTTCAATGATAGACACTGCCACAGAATCTCGCGGTCTACCGAGTCAAATGCTGCCTTTAAGTCAAGAAAGACCACCATTGTCGGACCCCGATAAGTATGCCTGTGTTGTAGAACCTGACGAATGGTGAATATGTGGTCGATGCAGCCACGATCGGGTCTGAAGCCAGCTTGGTTTTCTCGTGTTTGCAGTTCACGAGTCTTAGTTAGGCGTCTGATAATTGTCGAGGCTAGTATTTTAGATATTATATTAGTTAAACTAATCCCTCTGTGGTTGTCACAGGATGATTTTGACCCTTTATATATTGGGACGATAAGTGATTGTGACCAGTCAGATGGGATAACGTCTAACTCCCAGATCTTAGCCAAAATATTAGTCAACCTAATCGCTAAAATTGGACCATCATCCTTAAAGACTTCTGGAGCCAGTCCATCTGGACCAGCTGCGCTTCCTCGTTTCAGATTATCTATAGCCTTTTGAACTTCAGCAAGAGTTGGGTGACCTACTTCAATGTTCCATTCACGCTGTCTGGGAATGTAGGGTAGTTGTAGAGTAGCTGAAGGCCAGCTGGACTGTTTTCTGAAATGTTCCACCCATCGTTCTAAACGCCTGGACTGGGAGCAGATGAGTGTATCGTCTTTTTCCGATATAATCTCACTTACACTTGACTTATTAGTTCCAGTTTCTTTTATTAGCCTGTAAAGCTGTCTTGTGTTCCCTATAGTCGCCGCTTTTTCCATCTCTTTTGCTTTCGTTGCCCACCACTGCTCACGGTCGTTTCTTAGACTTTTTCTTAACCTAGATCTGATTTGTTGTCGCTCTTCATCATGTTCGGAACCTGATGGGACGAGTTTGCGAGAATCCATCAGTGTGATAGACTTTGAAGAAATCCACTGGTTCTTTGAAACTCTGTGGTTTAAGTTGCTAATAGAAGTCACTGCTGCTTCCACAGCTGATTGTATGTCTTTCCAAGCAACATCTGGGTCAGCCTCGTCTTCAGAACTACCTAAGTGTGAACTCAGTTGTTCTTGGAACCTATTTTTGGTTTTCTCGTTACTCAACTCAGTTCTAATGGGTCTTTTTAATGTGGCTTTTTTGCGTCCGGTGAGGCGCAAGCAGATGCGTGCCCGTATTAGGGCATGGTCGGAGTCCAAGCAGGTACTCCAGAATGAGCGACAATCTTCTACCGACCCTCTCCAACGATGACTGGTGGCAATATGGTCTATTTGAGTTCATCGTTGGTTTGGTGTAGGGGGTCGTCATGTTAGACGATGTCTCTCCCTATGCTTAAAATGTTTGTTTGCTAAAAATAAGCGATTGTCTGAGCATAGTTGCAGCAGACGGTCACCATTATCTGTTCGCTGTGCCGGAATGCTAAAATATCCACCTAAATGCCTTTCTGTTTGGTTTAAGCTACCTATCTGAGCATTAAAGCCACCTGCTACGGGTATTATGTCTGAGCGTTTAGCTTTCTGAAGAAGTTCAGAAAGCTTTCTGTAAAATTCATCTTTCACATCATCTGAGCTGCAGTCAGTGGGAGCGTAGGCAGAAACGACAAAAAGGCAACGACGTGTGTCCCTATCCTTCCGAGTTCTTACGGAGCCGTTTAGCCGAACAGCACATAGACGACTTCGCCTTCGGACCTTAGGTTTGTTGCTTTTAGTCTTACCGCTCTTCAACCGACCTGTCTGACATGGTAGGACCTTGAGGAACGGTTGTTCCAGCCAGTATAGCTCGGTTGCTTCATCATGATAGGCAAGCCCGACCACCACGTCAAGGTAGCAACAACGGTTGGGAACGATAATTATTTACAGTTCAACAGAATTATCTATGTATAATTAGATTATGAATAATAATTATTCTGTATGTTTGTATATTCTTAAAGTTACGATGTTTCGAAATGTTTCTTTTCGCTCTAAGGAAGGAGAATGTATAAGTGATTTCGGAAAATTCAGAAGAGAAGCCACCGATCTAAATAACTCATATGATGATCACCTTTTAGACTTAAACCGTCAACCAATGAAATTGAATGAATTTTTGAAACGTTGTTGGTATTGGTCTGCTAGTTTATCTCGTGTATTAAAATATCATTCAGATCAAATACATCCAGGTGAATTAAATGCATTCGCCAATTATGCTATTGCATTTCCGACAAAATTTCTTGGTTTACTTGATACATATGACGTGTTAAAGTATGTTTCTTTTTTGTGTTAAATTTTAATTTATTTTTCCTTTTCTTTCTGGATTTAATCTCCCTCTTTTAAAGGTTATTTCAGCATTACTAGGATTTACAATCTGTAGTGATATATGGAATAGATGCTAACAGTGAAACCCATACAACAAATTACGTATATATATGTTTGTTGTATTTCCCGAGGTAGATGGTTCAATTGCGGAGCTTTGATTGTCATTATCTTTACAGCCTAATTTATACACAAAAGATTTTCAGTCATTTTACATGCACCATATCACTTCTTCCTGCTGGCCCTGTATTTGATTATCTTCGTAGCTTTTGTCTTCATCTACGATTATATTCATGCTGTCTTTATTGTCCCTCGGTTTTTTACGGACTGACTTCTTCCGTATGCGTCTATACATTGGGTTCTAGATGTCCTCTGAGATTCCTAGTTTTCCTGATCCAGATTTTCGACTTCCCCAGTCAAATGCGTGTCCATTGTCATCCGCCTGCATTAATATCCGTGATAGTACATCATATCGCTTCACTGCTAATTTATGTTTATTTATTTTTATATGCAGAGGGGACCTAGTTTGTTTAATGTAATATTTCTCGTTTGGTGCAATTTGTTTTGTAAACGATGTCATTTATCCTCCTTTGCTGTTGTCTCTTGGTATACATACAGTGGAATGAAGTGATTCCGTTGTCTTGTGAGGGACGTGTATATTCGGGGAGGGGGGCTCAGTAATTCTTTAAAGAACCAAAGGAATGCTAGAAATAATTTCATCAATCAAGGTTCTTTAGAAACTTTCAAAAGAATTCTAGGAAAAGACAGTTTATCATTCTGACTACGCGCGTGCTGAATTTTTTACTAATTCAAACAAGCGTTTTTATGCTTTCGGAATTTCAAGGTCACATATGGCTCTTTATTTTCTGTACAGAAGATAAATCGGGAAGTAAAGTTTCCTGTATCCTGTTCCTGTTTTTTTGTCCTGTCCGCCGTCCAAGGGTAGGAGTTTTCGGGGCTAGTAAGCAGTTACGAAGTCACTGTATAAGTTTTCAGGCACAAAATGTGTGAATGTGTATATTATAACTTGAATAGGTGATAGGTTTGTGGCGTTTGAATTGGCGAGTTCTGAGTTCAAGTTTCAGTATGGACGTCGATATAATTGAAGGTACATATATCTGACATGTCTAAAGTAAAAAAATCTACATCCTGGATTCCCCTGTTTTAGATCGTCTAAAATCTAACTAAATTATTCAGATTTCGTTCTAGTCGGTATTGGGTTGTTACTAACATTTTAATACCACCCAAAAAGTCAACAACAAAATAAGTATATATGATAACGCTACCAACCACTGAGATCTATTTTTATAATCTGTCATATTTATAAGGCAGTTGATTGGGAGAACGAAAAAATCGGTACAATATGAAGAATGGATTGTAATTGTCTCCACTCTTTGAAATGGTCAACCGATTGTAAGTTGGATAGTGTCTGTTAGTGGAATCTAGGACGCACGTTTTATCCCACTTGGGACTCATCAGATAGATGTACCTGCATCTCAGTATTGATGTTTGTACTGAGACTCAAACCTAGTATCTTTCGATTCAATCAGCGAAAACCGTAAGCCCTTACAAGTAACATTTACAGTCTTGGTATAATCTAGTGACTGTCTGGATTCGGTAGCTCAATGGATAACACCCTGGCGTATGAAGCGAGAGGTACTGTATTCTAATATCAGTGCAAACGTCAACACTGAGATCCAGGTGCATCCATCTGATGAGTCCTAAATAAAATAAGACACTCTTTCTGTATTCTAATGCTATCTACTGTCCAAATTTAGTAAAAACCTGTGAATAATTGGAAATATTGAGGCAATCCACAGAGAATGTACAAATCCCAACAGAGACTGTTTAATTTCAGTCTTTAATAGCAACAGCATACTAGTAAGTCGATCGTAAGTATACAACCAAAGCAATAAGCCATAGAGACGTACAACACCATATAAACGATATATAAGACTGAAATAATATTAGTTATGGTGAACACTACTAACAAGACTTCTGGTTAATAGTATATAGCGGTACGTGGCGTCGGAGCTGTTACAGTAGTCAGACCGAGAAAAGAGTTTCAGTATGTCAAAAGTACGGCATAGGCAGAATACTCGAAGACCAGAAGAGAAGATAATTTGGATCACAACATACTGCAAGATGATCGAAGAGCATGTACATATATTATATCAACGTTATAACTTCTCTCAATAAACATTCTTTCCGTTAGGACGGCTTCCGAGAACTACGACGGAGCCTTCAGAGGCTTTAATGGAGCCGAAGAGTTTCCATCAAGTCGGAACATGATGGATCTCTAGAATGTCAACGTGGTATGCTACTATTGGACAGTAGAGTAACCAGAAAAATGCCTTGCTACAAAGACACCGCCATATGTTTACAGAAGGATTGGGAGAATGTACGAAAGCCAAAGCATTACTAACCCTCAGACCTGGAGCTACTCCCGTTTTTCGACCTAAGAGGCTTGTGCCTTATGCTGTCCTTTCATTAGTTGAACAGAAATTAAACGGCCTCAGAAAATGGGTGTTATTGAGCCTGTGAACTTCGATTGGGCTGCACCAATATTGATGGTCAAGAAGTCTAATGGTAGCGTTCGCCTATGTGCAAATTACTCCACCAGACTAAATGAAGCTCTAGAGTTTCGCCAGTACTCTTCACCTTTGCCTGATGGTCTCTTCGTCAAGCTGAACGGTGGCAGGTATTTTGCGAAATTGGATTTGTCAGATGCTTATTTACAAATCCCTGTATCTGATGAAAACAAAGATCTTTTAACCATCAACACACACAAAAACCGATAAAGACACTAGACTGCTCGTACTAGTTTATGCGTCATTGGTCTGGTCGATATTTCACTGTTCTCTAATTAGCGGTTTCATTACGTCATATATTGATAGGGCTACAAGGCCAGAAGTTATAAAACTTTCTGCTCACGGCTTTGTTGTGCAATAGTAGTGATATGTTCAGTATTTCGATTAATATAATAAGAGGAATGTTTTACTGCCGATTCTCTTGAATTTTGTTTGTTATTTTTTAATGTCTAATCACAGATGTTTTTCTCGAATATTTACAAATCTATTATGCAGATTTTTTGCTGCACTATCTTCCTTGAACTCAATTTTCAAAAAGAGCTTTCTTTAGAACTGTAGGTGTTGTTTTTCAGGTCGTAGTTTTAATTTCAAATTTCCTTCAGTAAACTTGGTCGGATAGCTGGTTTTTGATGGGTACTTGTCGGAGTTAGAGTAGTTCATCGTTCATTGTATCTTAGAATTATGTTTCTCTAGTTCTCAAAAGTAAAGAAGAACCTAGTTCTTTTTCTGTTTCATTTAACTCAGCTTTGAAAATTCGTATATTGGCAATTTCAAGTTCGTTCTTTATGTATAAATCTTTGTAACGAATCTATATATATATATATATATATATATATATATATATATATATATATATATATATATATATATATATATATATATATATATATATATATATATATATATAGTTATTATTGGTAGCCTTGGTCATTCTGATTTTCTTTAATCTAAGTTACATTATATCTTACCTCAATGTTAACTTTCAGTGCACATATGGTTGTAAGCAGCTGATGAGAAACCACGAAATATAGGGAATCCATATTAGTCCACATCAATATTTGTTCTGGATTTATTCAACTTCATAGCCGAAACCAATTGTGTGAAATTCCTGGAAAAGACAGCTTTTGAATCTATCCATAATAAGATTAAAGTCACTGATGATGAACGTGTCATCTATACATCTGCATAGTTGAAAGCTCTTGATTGTTGGTTGAAGCATCGTATTCTTCAAATTAACCAACAGAAAGTCCTCTTGAATAGCGCTTAGTGGTGAATTTTATTATTTTATCCATAGAACTTATTATTAAATCTAAACTGGAGATTAAAGGTACATCTAAGGAGAAGTTTATTTAGATTGTGTTTTGGGACGACAATATCGAGGTTGTTGTTTACAAGATCATAACATATGGTGGGAACACTTATAAAAAGTAGAATCTATGTCAAATGATATCATTGTCTTTACGGTTGCATTGACATCAGTAATCGAATCATTAAAATCAAATAGGTCAAGTGTGATATATCTGTCAAGCTAATTTCTAAATGTTTGTAGAATTCCCTCTTGGTATTTAGCAGTCCTATGATATAGTCAATTATTTATGTATTACTATCTGGGCTTCAAAGGGGACATCTTTTTTGTTTGCTTTTGAAGGACTATATAGTCTTAGAAGGAGTGGAAGTACCACGCTTAGATTACTTATGGTAAATTTGTTTATTTCTTTTTTTTTGCACACCTTGTAGATCAGGTTTACCAAATTTTTGTGCAGTTGCATTAGCTCTTCATGAATTTGGTTATCAAGCTATTGGTATACGTATTGATAGCGGTGATATAGCCTACTTATCATTGAAAATTCGTAATACGTTTCAGCTAATCAGTTCACAGTTAGTAGATTAAATTAAATTAATTGATACTTTTCTGTATTTTACTAAAAATATGGTTTATATTTTGTTAGTTCTCTTGGAACTATGCTTTAGTAGTTCAAGCATCCATATTTTTTCTTTATGTTCATCAAAGTTTATTATTATTATTATTATTATTATTATTATTATTATTATTATTATTATTATTATTATTATTAACATAAGAGTACTTCCAGCGTCTCACAGTACACTTAATCACTGCCCATCTCGATGCGTGATATTCGCTGATGTAGAAATAAGTTAAAAATATTTAGGGACCTCCAAACCAAAACACAGCATCAATCTGTAAAGCTATTGAGCCATGTTAATAGGTGAAGACTACTTACTTGAGGTCTGCGTAATTATTACAACTAGTGGTTGAAGAAATTAGGTGATATGAAGGGTTGGGATCAGTTATGATAAAATAGATACACTCATTTTTTTTTACCTTGGATCTTAGGTTTTAAAACTACTTTATATTTCCTGTAATTTCATGTAATCATTCTTTCTTCTTGAATCATATTGTCTATATTTCATTTTTCTTGTTGCCGCCTATTCTTTTACCAATTCCCCTACTCTGGTGTTCGTCTTGTTAATTTCAATTCGTTATGCTAATGTGGCGTGGCAGCTTTAACCAATGCTTATATGTACAAGGCTCTGCGTTGTTTAGAACTAACAAGGGACTATTAGTCATTTTATTGTTGTAATTTTCTTTTCAGATTGTGATAAAAGTATCTTTTAGGGATGAGCTTAAAACAACCGCGACGAATTTTCAGCCAGTTCTTAGACAATCAGAAAACAGCTTTTATAAATGGATAGTCTATGGAAAGGATAATAATATTGCATAGCGTGAACTGATTTTACATATTAATCAGTCGAAAAAACGACGACATATAAACTAACCTTTATGAGTACAAACTGCCTGTCTCCTGGAACCTTTAAATAAAATCCAAATAGATTTCTAAGAATTCCCACATTTTTCATAGTCAGGGCTAAACTTAGGAGTTTAAGATTGAAGTTTTAGACACGAACTGAAATCAGCTTCCATGTAGAAATGCTCTGTAGCCGTATGGATGTATGAATCTCGCTCAAGAATACAAGAGGCGGTATTTGAATAGTGTGACTATAAAATATAATTTCACCAGGCTGTTTGTTTCAAGATTAAGGGTTCAGGATTAGTGTCGTAACTTATGCCCTGTGTCCTACTTATGCATAACATATTGATACTGCCAATTAGAGAACAGTAACCGGACCAATGACGCATAAAACCCGTACGAGTATTCTAGAGTCCTTATCGGTTCTGTTTTCTGCCTAGCCCTGCCTGTTAAGTTCAGAACACCCATCTCAGCCTCTGCGATATGAATCATTTATTTCAAACATACTAGGTTTATATACCAACCAAACAAAACACATCGTACCACAAAATAGGAAACAACATTTTTTAAAAGATTTAGCCAAAAGTGGCTGTGAATGTGGAAAACTGTAATTCATAAACTGGGAATAACTTAAGATTGGTAAATCGTGTTATAATAGTTCATATGTCAAAATAAAGCTCATAATAAGAAGGAAACGAATATTATACGATAAAAATATGCGTATAATAATAGTCCAAAAATAGATCCAAACAGTTACCATTCATTAGTCCCATCGGGATATAACAATTAGAATTTAGGGACAGTGTCGATTTGCCTGTTATATGCAGTCTAAAGAGACAGAATTAGGTATTAAATACGTTCAACACTTATTTTTACGCTATGGTTTCAAAAAGTGATTTTTTAACAGTCATTTTAAACGTTTTGATTAAAAGTACTTCTACTGCTCTTCATACATGATGTTTTAATTTCTCACAATTTCTCATAATTTAAAACGTACACTACTACTTAATTAATTCAAGTTGGAGATATATTATAAGTTGGTTTACTCAACTTTCAAGGACACATTATTATTAATGGCTTTATTCAATATTATATTTTGATACAATATAGAATTCTTAGCCCAAGGTTTTTCAACAAGTTTCCTGTACAAAAAATAAAGGAAAACGGTTAAAATCTGAAAAACTGTGCAACTTTCCAAATTAGAGACATGTCAAGAATGCAATCTCTTTATGTAGTAAGCCAGACGGAAAACCTTCTTCGATAACAATAAAACGTGAGAAGACCAAGAGAGATCAGAGGAAAAGGTAACACCAAGATAATTGACCTTCGACACTGTGTTTACCAAAGAGTCTCCAATGGTACAAGCATTATGGGATCTCAAAATGGTGTTTAGATGCCGTTCATGTCTCATGCTAAAGTTAACAGCTTGACATTTAGACGGATTAAGTATGAGACCATTACCAACAGAGCAACAATCCATACGAGACAAAAACTCATTCATTTCTATGGGGTGTAAAGAGGAAGAGATAGACATACATACAGTAAGATCATCCGCATATTTCACAAAAGTGTTTTCTGTGGAAGATGGTAGATCATGCAGAAAAAAGAGAAAAGAAGAGGTGAGAAAACAGCTCCTTGTGGTACACCTTCATGAAACAGTAGAGACTCTGAACACTTTCCTCCAAATACAGTGTACTGTTCTCTCCCAGCTGTCAGTGTTGATGCTGATTAACTTATTAATTAAACGTTATCTTGATATAGAATCAAAAGCTGAAGTATAGTCCAGAAAAGCGCATCGAACATACTTCTGACCCTTTTCTAAGTTGAACACTATATTGTGATGCAGAACAACAACAGCATCTAAGGTGCTTCTTTTGCACCTGTAAGCAAACTGATACGGATCAATATGCTCTTTTATCGCAGACTGAAGTGGAAGTATTAATAATTTTTCCATTGTTTTGAGGAAGGGTGGAGTTATTGCAATAGGTCTAAATTCTACATTCTTATCACCAGATACTTTCTTGGGTACAGGGATTATCTTCATCTTTCTCCACATTTTCGGTATGAGATCAGAAGTGAAGGATCTGTTAAAAGATAGTCGTGAATGGGTAACATAGGACGTCAGCACGCTTTGTAAAAAGGAGGTTTGGGATACCATCAGGTCCTAAACATCGGGATAAATTAAGTGACTGGAGACATCTTCGGACATCAGTTTCAGTGAAACTAGGAACACAACTATTCTTTAAACCTGTGAATGAAGGGAGCACATTTTGTGTAAGAGTTCGTGTTACTACTTGGTCGCCTAAATTAACCGAGTTCATGTTCATAATCGTATTGGTCAGTATGAAGGAACATCAGTAACGGATACTGCTGTAATCAATTGAATAAGTTCAAAAGGTAATTTTATTATTTATTATTTTTTAATTTCATTTATTGTAGCTATAATTTACCTTGGTTTGCACAACTTCAAATACTTGCTAGCAATGATTTAACTGAAGATACATTACATTCTTTTAATCAACAAGTATGTGAACTTATTAAGAAAAAACAGATAAATAAAAGTTTATTAAATGTAATTCTTCTGAAAGTGCTGTTGTTTTTTTCTTTTTGAATTTCTAAATGGTTGTTAGTTCACTCCTTTTAAAGCATACTTCGTTAAGTGGTTGAAAGTAATCAAAAGGAAGCCCCGCTCGATCTATGTTTCGCGGTAGTTCTAATGATCTAATTGAAAAAATTCGTTCAGCTCTTTAGAATACGCAGATGACATAATCCTGTTTGGTGGACATGCTGATAAAATTCACTCTTTTGGTAGCACTGAATAATAATGCCAGGATGTTTCGGATGCGTTTCTCTCCCTCTTAATGCGAATTATTGCTTCAAAACTGGCATGCGTCGACACCTGGCCTAATAATAGAGAGTGAAGTAGTCGAACGTGTCGACAACTTCACTTTATATTGGAAGTCTGATCAATCCAAATTGGTTGGTTTCTGATGAAATCTCAGCACAGATTCAGAAAGCTCATTTGGCTTTTGCCAACTTACGTGACCTATGAAGAAGGTGAGATATCTGTCTATTAATTAAGGGACGAGTATACTTCGCGGCAGTTCGTTCTGTTCTTTACGGCTTCGAAAAGTGGTCTTTAAGAGTAGAAGATACTCGTAAGCTATTAGTATTTGACTAAAGATGCCTTAGCAATATTGCTTGCATCTGCTGGGATTACTGGGTAAGTAATAGTGAGGTTAGACACAGGGTATTAGGGTGTGATGGTACATCAGTTGATAAGGTTGTGAATCTTTATCGACTGAGATGGTTGGGCCCCGTGTTACATATTTCTGAACACCGATTACCACGACGCGCAATGATAACTATTGTTGGAAGAAGGTTAGTGGTGGCCAAACTGAAATAGGGCATCAGTTCATAAAGTCACTAGTTTCTGGTTTGTTCCATGTTGGTAGATGCAGATTACTTAGTTAGGGTATACACGACTTTCGTAACGAATGGTTGAAAACTGTGTGTGACATGGCTCAGAATCGATCACAATGGCGTCGGTATATAAACTCTTTGTCTTACCTTAAGCCACGAGATTAAAATTACTGTATACTTTTCTTTCTGCATACTAATTCTTTCTCCCTGTATCATATCCTCATATGAAATCTCTTTTATATATTACTACCATTGAAGTAACTACTTCTATGAATTTGGTGTTCATCTTGTTGTACTAATGAGGTGTGGTAACTTGGACCGATGCATATGTATGACTGGTCCTACGTTGTAGATGACTGACTGACTTTATGAATACTTAGAACTAAAGGTGAGATATTGTTCATCGAAATACTTGTGAATATACCCAAAAGATTGATTAACAAGAGCTACTTTGAGCTATTGTTACAATGGTTAATAATGTGAAATAATCTTTCATCACTATGTTATGTCAATTTGAACACTGTTTTCGATCGTATTAGGTTGGTATGTGTATTTTTATCTATCTACATCTTAACTGATTTTTGCACACTTATTAACTTATAATTTATATGTGTAACATACAAATACTATACTACTAAATGTGCACTAACCACTGAAAAATTTATCCATATTGCATTTTTCTAAATAATCCTTCAGTCTTTTAAACTTTATATTAGTGGTACATAAAATTTTAACTTGGCAAAGTTTATAAAATGTCAACTTACTATGGAATCTTGTAATCATTTTCTGATATCATAGAACAAGCTAAGGTTGAAATATGTTTTCATTGTTTTCTTCTCTCTGTATCTTCAATTTCTACCTTTTTAATATTGGTTGCTTTTGAGATTAAATTACAAAGAAATTCTTCCATTTTCTATTATCTATTCATTCTAGTTCATATCTCACCGTTAAACAAACATTGCATTTTGCATAAATAAATTCCATACCTTTTTTGTATACTGATTTGTGTACATTGAGTTTTTATTACTATGTAAAGTTTTCTAGAGGTAGTTTGATACTTTTAGCTTGTAACTTTAATGTCCATCATGCTTTTTTGGGTATTATTCAAATCATCAAACGTTTAGGCATTCACCGTCATTTATATTACGGACTGACTTAAGTTAGATATCCACTGAAAACCAGAGAAGACTGGAAAGCTATTTAATCGTAGTACGAAGCTACTTAGCGGTGCTCACTCATGACCTCGCCACAGGTAATCAAACCCAGGATCTTTAATTCTTGTGGTGAACGCTTAATTTCGAGACCACTGAGCCAATATTCAATAGTGTGTATGTATGGTAAATCAGTTGATGAGGTTGTGAATCTTCATTGACTGAGATGGTTGGGCCACGTGTTACGTATTCCCGAACACCGATTACCACGACGTGCAATGCTAACCGGTGTTGAAGATGGTTGGAAGAAAGTTAGGGGCGGCCAAACCAAAACGTGACATCAGTGCTTGAAGTCACTAACCTCTAATCTGTGTCATGTTGGTAGATGCAGACTACTTGGTTGAGGTCTGCATGGCCATCGTAACCAATGGTTGGAGACTTAGGGTGATACGGCTCAGAATCGATCACAATGGCGTCCTTGTATACACTCTCTGTCTTCCCTTAAACTAAGAGATTAAAATCGCTTCATATCTTTCTTTCTACGAACTGATTCTTTCTTCCTGTACTATATCCTTATTGCAATCTTTCCTTTATATATTACCACCTCTGAATTAACTACTTTTATGAATCCGGTGTCCGTCTTGTTGTGTTAATGAGGTATGGCAACTTGGACCGATGCATATATGTGCCTGGTTCTATGTTGTAGCTGACTGACTGACTGGGTGTGTATGCTTGACGTCAATCGATCCACGAAGTTGCGTTACCATCTCTAATTATCTTCGGTGAGTAGCTGCCTAGTTTTTTGCTTTATTGATTCAATGCATTTTGAGATATCGTATTTTCTATCCTCAGGATCACTCAATTGATGCATTTTGTGTTGGGACAAATCTAGTCACCTGTCAAAAACAACCAGCCTTAGGATGTGTATATAAACTTGTTGAAATTAATGGAACTCCAACAATGAAACTTAGTGCTGATTTTGAAAAACTTACTTTGCCAGGAAAAAAAGTAGTTTATCGTTTATATAGTCAGCAAGGTGAGTTACGTTTTTTGACTTAAACGCCTTCTAGTCATGACGTTTTTGCTCTCAGTTTTATTGTACTTATTATCGTTATAAGTAGTAAAACGTACCTTGATATATTCTTTAGTAGTATCACGTGTTCAGAATTATTTATAAAAGTAATGATGAACAGTTAGGTACGAAATTAAAAGGATAAAGGAAATTAGGTAATGATATCCAAAAATAGTATTTATTGATGGAATTAAAATGGGTTTCTTATGAAATCTGAACTATCTTGTTCAGAGGTCAAATCTTCATAAACAATAAAAAAGACATTAACGAAATTATATTACAGTTAGAAGACTGCAATTGCGGGAATGCACTGTCGTCTAGATAGTGATATAGTCTTTTGAATTAACATCTAACTGAAGTTATGGGTTAGGGTACTTTCGAAAGTGATCATATGAAAATGTTTCCTTTTGTATCTTAGAACGGTGAAATATGTGTCTAATTTTCGGGTGATACTATCTTGTTTATCCTTTGTTCTAATTTTCCGTTCAATCTTCTCACTAACTAAATATCCAGAATTAAGATACTGACGACTAAATGCTAATGAATTTTTCAAACTTATTATTAATTTCTTCTATTTCTCTACTCTTTAACAGTGCACAAATACGACGCTACATTAAATATAAATTTTTGATGCAAAGTTTCACAGTGGTCAATATATCATTAAGCCATTTATTTAGCGTAATGTATTTTTGACTCCAAACTACCTTGACATCGGTGTTCACTGTTTAGAGGTCTCAATCAATACAGAATGTCTACCCACTTTCCCCTTACTTTTTTATTACTCGGAAATTTTCATGAGTTCAATTTTCTGTGTTTTAATGTAGGTGAAGCATTATTGGATTTAATGAGACGTTCGCATGAAGATTCTCCAAACGTTAATGAACGTATTCTTTGTAGACACCCAACTCAAGCATCGAAACGTGTTTTTGTTGTACCCGGAAGAGTTGAACAATTACTCAAGTTATATTGGAATTATGGAAAAGTAATTTGAAATCATTTATTTATCTTTAGTTAATTATTACCACAACTGTTTTTGGTAAGAGTATAATATACTGACGACCGTGGAGTATTTATCAGCCAATCAGGAAATGGTGTCTTGTTATAAAACAATTAACAATACAAAGTAATGGAATAACAGTGTTATAACAGCTTTGGTCGTAATAATCAACATTCACAACTCAAATTATCCCTTGTGGTAAAGAAAAAGGGTAAGTTTACATATATACATACATATTAGGAGTCAGTCTAGTGCTGTCAGCCAGTTTTATCACTCCATAGAGTTTTCATCACCAACTCACATTGACTGTAGTGCAAAAAAATTAAGGTTAAGTATCAAGAGTTAAACTAGAGTTTTGAGTTAGATTTAAAAATCAAGATCAGAGTTTTAACACAAATTGACATCAGCTATTATCCAATCCCATGCTAACTTCCTGTTTACAAAATTGAGAAACTGAAGTTTGGGATGTAAAGTGAGATTAATAAAGAGGACATTATCTAGCTTCACTAAACACGCGATCAACGATATCAAGTACTTTAAAACACAATCTGCTGTAGAAGCAGGTATGCTGTTGAATTTAGATTATGCACCATCTAAAATTTATTTTTTTGTTGCACAACAGATATTTTCATCGATTTCAAACATCTTAAAAACCAAATATTACTATTTTCCACTTGGCATGACTTACACGTTATATATCGCTGATCTCTATACTTCGCTCAAAATACGAATTATCTTAATTCTGATTTGTCAACCTAAAGTCGTCAGTATATTCTATTTTTTGCCATAATTTTAATCTGTGTATTTTAGCTAGTGTAGTGTCTAGTACTACTTCAAGCCCACATCGATTATTCTAGCTGCTGAACAGACTAATTTATTCATTTTTCTCAAACCACATTTTGATCTTGTTATTTATTCGTCTATTAATCCTAACCGTTCTTTATATGACTGTATGTGTGTTAATTGCTTACCCTATTCATCACGTGTCTGTAACTTATTTTTGTCTGAATATATCGAGTCTCGCCTAATCAAAACGAGTTGGCTCACTCGCCTTCTCCACTGCGCTTCACTTCGTTTCTCCGATTGTCTGTTCGGATCAATAAGTGTATGAAATATACGTATTCAAAATTCATTCTCGTATTTGACTTATCAAATTCCGTTATTCACTGACGCGATTTAAGCCGATAAAAATATACGAGGGTTGGCGGCATGTATAGTTCGATATCAATCAGCATACGATCTAATTGGAGTCAGATATCGGGCCACTAAAGTGTATTGCCACGAATAAGCAGTACTTTAAAGAAAGGTAAGATTGTTGTATTCTAAATTATGTAAATTAAAATTTTCACTTCAGTTTACGTATTTATTAGATGAACTGCGTCAGATTACATAAACTAGACGAAGTATTATTGAGTAATTGTTTGCAACGCTAATACATGTACTATAATAATATCATTTAAATTATCGTAATTTCATCTTGCCCACTCATTCTCTCTCTCTTTGCTTCCTATTTACCAATTACAGTTGGTTAAACCATTGCCGACATTGAATGAATCTAGAGAATACGCTATGAAAGAATTAAACACTCTAAGACCAGATTATAAACGTATAACTAAACCGACCCAATATAAAGTTTCAGTTTCAGATGAATTATATCAATTCACTCAAGAATTATGGCTTAGTATTACACCAATTGGTGAAATTAGTTAGTAACTTTATTCACCTTTTCATTACTACTGTTATAAATAGTTCATTTTTCTTTATATCCACCTTTCACATATCTACCTAATTTATAACAAATGCACTATTTTTCGCTTGTAATCATTTGTTTATTACTTATTTCCTTGTTGTTAGTAGTATTGTGATTAGTATTTTGTTTAAGTCTTGCTTTACTATACAAATAAATTGCTTTCAATACTTTTTTTCGTGATAACTTTGAAAGATACATTCAAAACAACATATCCATGTATTTTTGACTACATTTTCTCACACCAACTATTTCTTATTTATAGATTATGAATACCAATAAAAATGTCTTGTTTGCAAACAATATTCAATTTAATTGCCACTTTTTTGTTGTTAAATTCTTTGTGGTAATAGACAACATAAACTATGTTATGAAATAATGGAGAATATTTTTCGACTTAGGTGGATACTTTTAGTAGTTTTGAATTCATCTAACTAGATGTTTTAATTTCAGTGTTCTCATTTTCGTTCTGGACAACACATTATCAGTGCTTACTACAAAAGGTTACTCGGAAAGACAATGAATGTTTTACAACCGAATCATTGAGCTTGGAGAACAACGAAAACTATTCTATGGAAGAATTTTCTCCTTGAATATTGGGTTTACGTTTTATATATACATAATATTAGTCAAAGTCTCGACCGTTGTTGCTACCTTGACGTGGTGGTCGGGCTTGCCTATCGGGATGAAGCAACCGAGCTATACTGGCTGGAACAACCGTTCCTCAAGGTCCTACCATGTCAGACAGGTCGGTTGAAGAGCGGTAAGACTAAAAGCAACAAACCTAAGGTCGGAAGGCGAAGTCGTACTGCTGACTGTACTGAGGTGTGACAGCAGTAAGGTGTTTCCTTCAGACAACCAGCATGACAGCGATGCTGCCTTCCCACAAGGAGGGGTGGGGTTAGAAAAGGTCGACCCTAAAAATGCACACCTCGCCTTACATCTAAATGCAAGTTGTTGCTTCAGGACTGGTCTGCGTTAACACCTGAACTAAGGATAGGGAGTGAAGTAGTCGAACGCGTTGACAACTTCACTTATCTTGGAAGCCTGATCAGCCCTAATGGGTTGGTATCAGACGAAATCTCAGCACGGATTCGAAAAGCTCGTTTGGCTTTTGCCAAGTTACGTCACCTGTGGCGAAGGCGAGATATCCGTCTATCAATAAAAGGACGAGTATACTGAGCGGCAGTCCGTTCTGTTTTAATTTACGGCAGCGAAACATGGCCATTAAGATTAGAAGACACTTGTAAGCTATTAGTATTTGACCACAGATGCCTTAGAAATATTGCTGGCGTCTGCTGGGATAACCGGGTAAGTAATAATGGGGTTAAACTCAGGGTATTAGGAAATGATGGTAAATCAGTTGATGAGGTTGTGAATCTTCATCGACTGAGATGGTTGGGCCACGTGTTACGTATGCCCGAACACCGATTACCACGACGTGCAATGCTATCCGGTATTGGAAATGGTTGGAAGAAAGTTAGGGGCGGCCGAACCAAAACGTGGCATCAGTGCTTGAAGTCACTAACTTCTAGTCTGAGCCATGTTGGTAGATGCAGACTACTTGGTTGGGGTCCGCGTGACTATCGTAACCAATGGTTGGAGACTCTTGGTGACATGGCTCGGAATCGATCACAATGGCGTCGGTGTATACACTCCCTGTCTTCACTTAAACTATGAGATTAAAATCGCTTCATATCTTTCTTTCTACGAACCAATTCTTTCTTCTTGTACTATATCTCTATATGCAATCTTTCTCTTATATATTACCACCTTATACCTAACCACTGTTATGAATCTGGTGTTCATCTTGTTGTGTTGATGCGGTATGGCAACCTGGACCGATGCACATATGTGCCTGGTCCTACGTTGTAGCTGACTGACTGACTGAGTCAAAGTACCTGTACTTGGTTAGTGAGTAACTGTGTCAACAAACCCCTATGAAGCATTGTATTCTTATCTTCTGAAATTGGTTACTAAGAGCAAAAATTATCTCTCAAGTGTTTCTATTTAGTTTAGTTCCGACTAAAGTATTCATATCTTATTTAAAATGATTATGATTTGTCTTTGAATTTTTCTGTCCATTTTTAAATTCTTATTGTTTGTATTTTCAAGTTTATTGAGTTTTCACATGTATCACTGCTGTTGAGATCTTTATTTATTTATTTTGACACATAAATATTGGTACAAAGGTGCATCAGATACATATGTATCACACAAATAACGATGGGAATGTGAAGAGATATAGAATGTAAGGTGAGTATAGGGAAAAGGGGAACAATAACGAACGAAAATTTGTGCATGATAGTGAAATAGTAATAATGGAAGAAACAGTTCAGTTAGCAAAGGCACAATCAGAAAGAATTGTCTCAGTCACATAAGTCACGTTCACTTTTATGAAGAACGTAAAGTAAAGTTACAACAGGTTTGCCACTAGCTTCTATTCTGAGCAAGATCTGGTAATGTCTAAGACCACAACCAGGGAGTCCTGAAGTAGCGACAGAAGCCAGTCTTTTACAGCTTTCTTCCATATCACGACACCATGTCATACACTGACCAACTCTCCGCTTTTTCCAACCAGCCCCAGAGTCGGCAAATAATACACGACGTGGAATTCTCTCGGCGACATTCGTAAAACATGTCCAAGGTACCGCAGTCGGTGTTTCAAGATGCTGACATCAATTGATTGCATTTTTTTAGTATCATCGCATAGTAAAATAATATCATCCGCATACTCAAGGTTAAAGTTTTTCTCTATGCAACAGATCCATACCACCACTGCCTACTTCCATCAGAGCAAAGTCGGGGAGGAATAGTGAGATTGAGCAACCCTGCTTACCCCACTGCTTGGACGGGACAATAAAGAGAGATGGCTGTATGATCTCACTCTGCCTGATATGTTTGTATATAGGGTTCTCAGGATGCTAACCAATTTCTCAGACACACCCTTCTTCAATAAACAATCGCAGAGAACAGTCCTGTCCCACGAATCGAAGGCGGCCATAATGTCAAGAAACACTATGATTGTTGGCTTTTGATTAGTATGACGGTGTTCTACCATTTGGCGGAGGGTGATATGGTCAATATATCTTTGACCAGAACAAATACCAGCCTGCTGCTTGCGAGTCAACCCCTCCCGGGTATCGAGCAATCTACGAGATATGACGAAATCAAATAGTTTGGACGCAACCGAAAGTAGACTTATAACCCGATAGTGACAATTTTAGAATCACTTCAGGGTGTTGGGATACTCTAATTGCCAGGCTTGTGTAACCAACTCAGTCAGTTGCTTAACCAAAATGTCATCACCATCTTTAAAAAGATCCGGAAGTAAGTCATCTGGACCTGGTGATTTGTGGCGCTTCAGGATTTGGAGTTCCTTGCGGACTTCTGTTTCGTTAGGTGGATCAGTCGTCACAGGCCATGAAGAGTAGTACAGGCTGGTTTATGTTGTCAGGGCAGCAGACTATTCGAATTATTCCTCGAAAAATTCAGCCCATTGTCCGAGACTTCCAGCAGTTACCGGAAGCAGCCGCTGTCTCCGGTTCATTAGCACACTCCGACCACCAGAATTCTCGGTCCTTACGCAAGCTTTCCGCAATTTCACTACGTAAAAATCTTCATTTATCGTCAAATTCACGGTCACTTGGAGTAGACCGACGTGCTTTGATCACTTGTAAGGAGCCTGTAGAAAGCCCTGTGAGAGAATTTTGAAGGGGGAGATCTGACTCTCTTCATACTCGACCGTACCCGGGAATTTCGGGGAAATTTGTAAATTTATCAGTGACTTGTTAAAATATAGAGTAAGTCAATTATGACAATGAAAGTAAAAGTAACCAGGCAGACGTACGATTTCTGTCAATAATAGAAGAACCTGTCCAAACTGGTGCAATGCACAATAGCACATAAAACGGAGAAAAGTTTTGAAGTCGACATAAATGGATAAGGGAAGTCATGATTGATAGAGTCAATTAGAACAAAATTGAAATGGTTTCTTACTGAAGATAACGAGAACTAAGTTTAAAATTATAGATCATTGGATTTAGGCTCGTTGATCTAAAGGTATTTCGGTCACTGATCCAATGGAGCCAATGTTTAACTCCAACCAGTCCATTATATTGAGCGACTGCCGTCGGATACCGGCTCAATTTTTCCGAGTTTAAGCCTTCGCCCAAAACCGAAGGTCCTGGGTTTGAGCCTTATTTGTGGGATCGTTGGTTCGCGATATTAAGTAGTCCCATATTAGGACGGGACGACCGCCCGGTGCTTTCATGTTTTCGCTGGTGGCCTAATATTCATCGGTTCGTGATCTCAATAGTATTTACTGTCAAAAAGTTACTAAAACAATCACAGTAGTTAACAATGTTAATGCAGCTACATAGTTCAAATTCAGTGGACATTGGACATTAGTTTTTTCTTAGTTTGACATTCTTTATTAATACCCAGATAGCATGGAGCCACTACTCAGTACCTCTCAGTTTTCAACAGTTCCTTAGCTGAGGTGTTTTCGTACTATAGTTCAGTTGAGTAGATTTCATGGAGGCTGGTTCAGTTTGTAGGTTCTATTTGTTGCAGATTGGTCTTGGAGTACCATAAAATACTGGACACCAAGTTCGTTCTAGTATGTGACTCCTAATCTGTGTACACTCGTCCCCGCTAAATATCCAAGCCACAACCTCCAGTAAACTCCATGTGCGCTTAAACTTTAAAACCACTTGGTTGGCGTTCATTGGTGCAATTTCAGTAGAGCATAACTGTCACCCTATGACTAATATAATCTATAAGTTAAATCCACCATCATAAAACACTTTCAGTTAAACTAGAGTATTTGGCTGATCATTGGTTTACTTTAAAATGTTCCTTGTATGCTACTGAAAAGTGTTGACTGATAGGGTTCATATATGTTTGAAATAAAACACTTGTCACTAATGCCTTTGGATAATCATCGTGCTATATCTCTGTTTAGAAAAATATATTGTAATATTGAGTAAACAGTAGAAGTTGCTAAAATAACGTTTTCGAATGTTATCGAGATCGCGAACGAATTTAAGATAACCATTGAAAATCTGAACAGTCACTACATCGTAGAATGTGACTCATCACAGTCCAATCACGACCCCACCCAAGACCAAACTCAGCACCTTCCGGTCTAGAAGGGAAAACTTAACCACTAGACAGCTGAGCTAACATTCAATATTGTCTATTCTTAATTCAATTAATTCGTGCCATTACACAGCAGTCTCCTATTGTCATCAATCGGTACCTCCTTCGCACCCTACACTACTGGATTAGACTAGTC